GGCCGCCCTGCCCCGGGTGCCGACACGAGGCCGCCAGGGTCCCAGCGCCGGCTCTGGCCTGCGCAGCCCCTGCGCCCAGGGGCCGCGGAGGGAGGGTCGCGTGCTCCCCCTCGTGGCCGTCAGCGTGGGCGTCAGAGCGGGCCGCACGCCCTGCCCCAGGCCATGGGGTCGCTCGCTCCGGCTTCACTGCTCCTTCCGCCTGCTGCAGCCCACACCGGCCTCCCGTCTGCCGCCCGCTCCACTCGGCGTCCTCTGAGTAGGGCCGGGGCCGCCCAGTCTTGGTGTCTCCTGTCCAGGCCACACAGGTGATTTCCCTGCCCGTCACTGGCCCTCTGTGCCCCACGCAGGCTGTGTGCCCCGCCCCGACTCGTGGGCCCCGCCATGGTCCTGAAGCATCATCAGCATGTTTGCCTAAAGGCTTTTCTAGGCTGCTCTAGCCTCCTGGCCAGCGGGCGTCTGGCTAGCTGTTTCGCAGATGCCTTCACGCTCACTTGTCGTGGTTTCGGGGCGCAGGCCCATTTTGGAAGGGCGGGCTCTGGCCCGTGGTTCCTCTGACCCTCAACGCTTCGGTGCAGAATCGTGTCTTACATAGAGGAAAGAGAAAGGCCCAGCCCAGGCCAGCTCCCGGTCCCCGTGCGGTCGGCTCCCCCAGTTCCTTGGGCTAGGAAGTCGTCCAGCTCCTGCTTGGTCATGGAGCCCGACTTGGAGCCCAGGCCGGGCCGCACCACCAGGTGGGTGAGCATCATCTTGCGCTTGGCCACCTGCGTGATGCGCTCCTCCACCGAGGCCCGCGTCACGAAGCGGTAGATCATCACCTTCTTGTTCTGCCCGATGCGGTGGGCGCGGCTGAAGGCCTGGGGGCGACCGGCGGCTCAGCCCCGCCTGCGGGGCACAACCCTGGATGCGCGGGGGGAGGTGTGGGGGGTGCGGGGAACAGCTCACTCCCTGAGTGGGGTCCCTGCGGGCCTGGGGCTGACCGCAGTAGGCGTGGGGGGGGGGGGCAGCCTCCTGTAATGAGCCCCTGGGGGCAGAGTAGCCAGCCGGGTCGGCCCGGGCTGGGGGCATGTGCTCTGCGCCCTCAAACGCTCCACTTCCTCCTGGCGGCGCGGTGCCAGGCTCAGCGAGGCAGGGCCAGCAGGCAAGCGCCCGGCAAGCAGGTGCCAGGGCAGG